AGCTAGTGGTTCTCCATGTGTAGGTTCTAATATGGAGCTAGTGGTTCTCCATGTGTAGGTTCTAATATGGAGCTAGTGGTTCTCCATGTGTAGGTTCTAATATGGAGCTAGTGGTTCTCTGTGTGTAGGTTCTAACATGGAGCTAGTGGTTCTCCATGTGTAGGTTCTAATATGGAGCTAGTGGTTCTCTGTGTGTAGGTTCTAACATGGAGCTAGTGGTTCTCCGTGTGTAGGTTCTATGTGTAGGTTCTAATATGGAGCTAGTGGTTCTCTGTGTGTAGGTTCTAATATGGAGCTAGTGGTTCTCCATGTGTAGGTTCTAATATGGAGCTAGTGGTTCTCCATGTGTAGGTTATAATATGGAGCTAGTGGTTCTCCCTGTGTAGGTTCTAATATGGAGCTAGTGGTTCTCTGTGTGTAGGTTCTAATATGGAGCTAGTGGTTCTCCGTGTGTACGTTCTAATATGGAGCTAGTGGTTCTCCATGTGTAGGTTCTAATATGGAGCTAGTGGTTCTCTGTGTGTAGGTTCTAATATGGAGCTAGAGGTTCTCCATGTGTAGGTTCTAACATGGAGCTAGTGGTTCTCCGTGTGTAGGTTCTAACATGGAGCTAGTGGTTCTCCGTGTGTAGGTTCTAATATGGAGCTAGTGGTTCTCTGTGCGTTTGCCTCAGAGTGCTGAAGTATGGCAGGAAGACACAGCGTCCGCCTCAGGCAGATTCTTTTCTGTTTTCTGAAAGATTGAGTGGGCAGATATAGCCTGGAGCCTCCCGGTCTAATTAGGCTGGTGTGTCGGCTGCTTGTACACACGCATGCATACACACACACACACGTAACACACGTATCACACACACTCACAAGCACACCAGCACACATGTATGCACACACACACACTCCTGACGCCCCATTTATCTGGTTAATATTCTCTACCCGTCACTCAGGTATCAGTCAGCCAGCCAGTCAGTCAGCCAGTCAGCCAGCCAGCCAGCCAGCCAGCCAGACAGCCAGTCAGCCAGCCAGCCAGTCAGTCAGCCAGTCAGTCAGTCAGTCAGTCAGTCAGCCAGTCAGCCAGTCAGCCAGCCAGTCAGCCAGTCAGCCAGTCAGTCAGTCCCCACAGTCCACCCACAGCCTCTATCTTGTTTTAGTTTTTTTTTTACTCCCTCCACTTTGACCTGAAGCCTCCCACCTCTTCACTGTCATCTTGTCTTTTCTCTTCTATTAGCTAGCATGTAGCGCAGTGTCAAGGCAGAGCAGGGTTCTGTGAGGTGACTTATCCATCTCTCTTCTATTAGCTAGCATGTAGCGCAGTGTCAAGGCAGAGCAGGGTTCTGTGAGGTGACTTATCCATCTCTCTTCTATTAGCTAGCATGTAGCGCAGTGTCAAGGCAGAGCAGGGTTCTGTGAGGTGACTTATCCATCTCTCTTCTATTAGCTAGCATGTAGCGCAGTGTCAAGGCAGAGCAGGGTTCTGTGATGTGACTTATCCATCTCTCTCGCTCTCTCTCTCTCTCGCTCGCTCTCTTTCTGTTTTGTAAAGCACTGTAGTAATTGCAGCCTTCACGATTTACTCACTACTCTGTCTCATCTGTAGTGTGTTGGAGTTAAAGGAAGGAGTAATCTCTACTAATGTACTGTCATCTGTAGTGTGTTGGAGTTAAAGGAAGGAGTAATCTCTACTAATGTACTGTCATCTGTAGTGTGTTGGAGTTAAAGGAAGGAGTAATCTCTACTAATGTACTGTCATCTGTAGTGTGTTGGAGTTAAAGGAAGGAGTAATCTCTACTAATGTACTGTCATCTGTAGTGTGTTGGAGTTAAAGGAAGGAGCAATCTCTACTAATGTACTGTCATCTGTAGTGTGTTGGAGTTAAAGGAAGGAGTAATCTCTACTAATGTACTGTCATCTGTAGTGTGTTGGAGTTAAAGGAAGGAGTAATCTCTACTAATGTACTGTCATCTGTAGTGTGTTGGAGTTAAAGGAAGGAGTAATCTCTACTAATGTACTGTCATCTGTAGTGTGTTGGAGTTAAAGGAAGGAGTAATCTCTACTAATGTACTGTCATCTGTAGTGTGTTGGAGTTAAAGGAAGGAGCAATCTCTACTAATGTACTGTCATCTGTAGTGTGTTGGAGTTAAAGGAAGGAGCAATCTCTACTAATGTACTGTCATCTGTAGTGTGTTGGAGTAATCTCTACTAATGTACTGTCATCTGTAGTGTGTTGGAGTTAAAGGAAGGAGTAATCTCTACTAATGTACTGTCATCTGTAGTGTGTTGGAGTTAAAGGAAGGAGTAATCTCTACTAATGTACTGTAGTGTGGTCAACGCATTTGAATGACAAAGCATGAATCCCAATACTTGCATCTTATGCTTGAGTATCTCTCCTCTCTTACTTTGTAGGCTGGAGTTAAGAGGAGTAATCCTATGAGATACTGACACTGTAGAAGGGTGAGTTAGGAGGAGAACACTAGTACGCATTGTATGGTCTGGATTATAGGTTAGCTAACTCACTATGTATAGCTTGTCACTGTAGTGTGTTGGATTAAGAAGGAGTAATTCTACTATGTCTATCATCTGTAGTGTGTTGGATTAAGAGATAACACTATGACTAGTAGTGTGTTAAGATAGGAAATCTTACTATGTACCATCTGTGTGTTGGATTAGGGGATAATCTATAATACTATGTAGTGGTTGATTAAGGGACAATACTCTATATGCTGTATGTAGTGGGGAACTATATGTACGTACTGTAGTTGTTGGAGTAATAGTAGGAGTAACTACTAGACTGTCATCTGTAGTGTGTTGAGTAAGGGAGACCTATAGTACGATCTAGTAGTGGTTGGATTAAGAGAGACTATATTTAAGGGTACTGACTGTATGTGTTGGAGATTACTAAGTAGACTGTAGTGGTTGATTAGGAAGAGGTAACTGTATATACTGTACTGTAGTGTGTTGATTAAGAGAGAGTAATCCTACTAATGACTGTCACTGTAGTGTGTTGGAGTTAAGGAAGGAGCATCTCTACTAATGTACTGTCATCTGTAGTGTGTTGGAGTTAAAGGAAGGAGTAATCTCTACTAATGTACTGGTCATCTGTAGTGTTGGGAGTTAAAGGAGGAGTAATCTCTACTAATGTACTGTCAAACTGTAGTGTGTTGGAGTTAAAGGAAGGATAATCTCTACTAATGTACTGTCATCTGTAGTGTGTTGGAGTTAAAGGAAGGAGTAATCTCTACTAATGTACTGTCATCTGTAGTGTGTTGAGTTAAAGGAAGGAGTAATCTCTACTAATGTACTGTCTCTGTATGTGTTGGAGTTAAAGTAGGAGTTATCTCTACTAATGTACTGTCATCTGTAGTGTGTTGGAGTTTAAGGAAGGAGTAATCTCTACTAATGTACTGTCTCTGTAGTGTGTTGGAGTTAAAGGAAGGAGTAATCTCTACTAATGTACTGTCATCTGTAGTGTGTTGGAGTTAAAGGAAGGAGTAATCTCTACTAATGTACTGTCATCTGTAGTGTGTTGGAGTTAAAGGAAGGAGCAATCTCTACTAATGTACTGTCATCTGAGTGTGTTTGGAGTTAAAGGAAGGAGTAATCTCTACTAATGTACTGTCATCTGTAGTGTGTTGGAGTTAAAGGAAGAGTAATCTCTACTATGTCTGTCATCTGTAGTGTGTTGGAGTTAAAGGAAGGAGTAATCTCTACTAATGTACTGTCATCTTAGTGTGTTGGAGTTTAGGAAGGAGTAATCTCTACTAATGTACTGTAGTGTGGTCAACGCATTTGAATGACAAAGCATGAATCCCAATATTGAATCTCTGCCTCTGTCTCTCCCTCCTCTTTGTAGGCTGATGTGAGAGGACCATGGTGAGAACAGGACACGTGAGAAGGCGTGACGCTGGGGAGGGAACCTGGAACATTGTTGGATACTGGATATAGGTTAGCAACCAATTATGTATAGGCCTATGTACTGTATGTGACTGGATAAAGGGAGTGGAGATATACTAGTAGTGGTTAGATATAGGGGACTAGATAGACTAGTAGTGGTTAGATATAGGGGACTAGAGGTAGACTAGTAGTGGTTAGATATAGGGGACTAGAGGTAGACTAGAGGTACTAGTAGTGGTTAGATATAGGGGACTAGAGGTAGACTAGTAGTGGTTAGATATAGGGGCAGATACTATGTTAATTTGGGACTAAGGTAGACTAGTGTGTTAATATAGGGGACTAGAGGTAGACTAGTAGTGGTTAGATATAGGGACTAAGAGTGACTAGTGGTTATATGGGACTAGATAACTAGTATGTTAGATGGTGACTAATGAGATAGACTAGTAGTGGTTAGATATAGGGATAGAGGGAACTATTGTTCGATATAGGGGACAGAGTGACTAGTTTGTGGGTTTTTTTTTTTTGAGGGGGGGGCGAGATAGAGTTTATTAATGGGGTTAAATTAAAGCTTGCCCCTTTGCTGGGTTATGGGGAAGTCAAAACCACATAAAAAGGCAAATGCAAATAAAAAAAAACAAATTGTAATTTTCAATGCTTTTTCCAAGTGACTTACGTAGTGGGCATACTTTTCCCCTACGGTCCCCCCGGGGATCGAACCCCAAAACCCTGGCTTGAAAGCACCTGCCAAAACCAACGACCACGCACAAAACGGGGATTTGTAATCATTTTGCCTTGATATGGGTTTCATTTAAAATGAAAAACCCTGGGGTAAGAGTTCCATGCCACACTCCCATGTCAGCTTGTTAAAGGCTGCCGTTCCATGCCACACTCCCGTGTCAGCTTGTTGGGTCCCTTTTCCAGGCCACACCCCCCTGCACTTGTTGGGGCTCCCTTTCCAGGCCACACCCCCATTCATTTGGGTTGCGGCTGCCGTTCCAGTGCCACACTCCCAGTGTCAGCTTGTTGCGGCTGCCGTTCCAGTGCCACACTCCCAGTGTCAGCTTGTTGCGGCTGCCGGTCCAGTGTGAGTGGTAACCTCCCTCCTCTCTCCTGTAGAGGTCAGATGGTGTTCTGAAGGAGCCATGGGTAGCTACTGCAGCTGTCCTGACAACCACTCCATCCCTGATAACCATCAAAGCAAATTCAAGGTGGGTCCCTTCTCTTTTTCCTCCTATAGCTCAACATGTTTCCTCTCTGTCCCTCCCTCTCTCCTCTCCTCTCCTCTCCTCTCCTCTCCTCTCCTCTCCTCTCCTCTCCTCTCCTCTCCTCTCCTCTCCTCTCCTCTCCTCTCCTCTCCTCTCCTCTCTGTCCCCCTCTCCTCTCCTCTCCTCTCCTCTCCTCTCCTCTCCTCTCCTCTCCTCTCCTCTCCTCTCCTCTCCTCTCCTCCTCCTCTCCTCTCCTCTCCTCTCCTCTCCTCTCCTCTCCTCTCCTCTCCCTCTCCCTCTCCCTCTCCCTCTCCCTCTCCTCTCCTCTCCTCTCCTCTCCTCTCCTCTCCTCTCCTCTCCCTCCTCCTCCTCTCCTCTCCTCTCCTCTCCTCTCCTCTCCTCTCCTCTCCTCTCCTCTCCTCTCCTCTCCTCTCCTCTCCTCTCCTCTCCCTCCCTCCTCCTCCCTGTGGTAAAGGATAATATCTACCTAAGGGTATACAGTAGTAGTGTTCTACCCAGGGGTTCCACAACGATAGATAGACTGTGTCTGCAGTACAGTATGTGTACAGTAGGTGGTGCTATTGCTACGTTACTCAGACCAGACACAGCTTGGCTTTAATGGCCAGCTAGGTTGGGTCATGTGATACCAGCAATATAGCAACAGATGACTGGTCTGGTTGTTTCTGACATGCCAAATCATTAACCACTCAGCCTGACTTTGGCCCCTCCGACTGGAGCATAGAGCTGCTTCTGTCTGCTATAGTGATACTGTAGATAACACTGTCCTGTAAAGGGCTGTGGGGAGTGGTCCCCCGTTCACTCAGACAATATAGAGGGCAAACTGTTCATTATCAAATCAATCTAATCAAATGTTATTTGTCACATGCGCCGAATACAACAGGTACAACACCTTACTGTGAAATGCTTACTTACAAGCCCTTAACCAACAATGCATTTCAAGAAATAGAGTTAAGAAAATATTTACTAAATAAACTAAAGTTTAAAAAAATAAATAAAAAAATAACACAAGGAAATTTGGAGCTAGACTTGGCGCTCCGGTACCGCTTGCCATGCGGTAGCAGAGAGAACAGTCTATGACTTGGGTGGCTGGAGTCTTTGACAATTATAGAAGCTACAGTAGTAATTATGTTAATCCATTGAGTTAGGTAATTACGTAACCCTGTTACTAAAACATTTACTAGAGACCACATGGATGGATAATTTAGTGGCTTTCCACATCCATCCCAAATTGAGACCCAGATTTTCTCATTGCTTATCACAGACTTGTTTCACTGATGGTTTTCTCATCTGCTTTCTCTCTCTCTCTCTCTCTCTCTCTCTCTCTCTCTCTCTCTCTCTCTCTCTCTCTCTCTCTCCTCCCTCCCCCCTCCCTCTCTCTCTCTCTCTCTCTCTCCTCCCTCCCTCTCCCCCTCCCTCTCTCCTCCCTCCCCCTCCCTCTCCCTCTCCCCCTCCCTCTCTCTCTCTCTCTTCCCCTCTCTCTCTCTCTCTCTCTCTCTCGCTCCTCCCTCCCTCCCTCTCCCCTCCCCCTCTCCTCTCCTTCCCCCTCCCATCTCTCTCTGTCTCTTCTCCCTCTCCCGCTCTCTCCTCCCGTCCCTCCCCCCCGGCCATCTCTCTTCTCTCTCCCATCATCTCCCCCTCCCTCTCCCCTCCCCCTCGCTCCTCTCTCATCTCTTCGCTCCCTCCCGTCTCTCTCCCTACCCTCTCTCCTCCCTCCTCTCCCTCCCTCTCCTCCCTCCCCCTCTCTCTCTCTCCCTCACCGTCTCCCCCCTCTCGTCCTCCCCTCTCCCCTCTCTCCCCGCTCGCCTCTCTCTCTCCCTCCCCCCCCTCCCTCGTCCCCCTTCTCTCTCTCCCTCTCCCCCACTACTCTCTCTCCATCTCCCCTCTCTCCCCCTCCCTCTCCGCTCCTCCCCTCCCCCCCTCTCCCTTCTCCCCTCTCCCCTCCCTCCCCCTCTCCCCCCTCCCTCTCCCCCTCTCCCCTCCCTCTCTCTCTCTCCAGGTGATAAATGTAGATGATGATGGTAATGACTTAGGCTCAGGCTTGATGGAGCTGACAGAGGAGGAGCTTATCCTCCACACCAGGAAACGTGACACTGTCAAGTGGCCTTACCTCTGTCTGCGTCGCTACGGTTACGACTCCAACCTCTTCTCCTTCGAGAGCGGGCGACGATGCCAGACTGGACAGGGTACGCACTGACCGTCAAATATCACCTACTTTCTCTCACTATATTATCAATCCAATGTATTTATATAGCCCTTTTCACATCAGCAGTTGTCACAAAGGGCTTTACAGATACCCAGCCTAAAACCCCAAAGAGCGATGCAGAGGCAGAAGGATCTCTGTCTCTCTGTCTCTCTGTCTCTCTGTCTCTCTGTAACTCTCTCTGTCTCTCTGTCTCTCTGTCGCTCTCTGTCTCTCTGTCTCTCTGTCTCTCTGTCTCTCTGTCTCTCTGTCTCTCTGTCTCTCTCTGTCTCTCTCTCTCTGTCTCTCTGTCTCTCTATGTCTCTCTATGTCTCTCTGTCTCTCTGTCTCTCTGTCTCTCTCTCTCTCTGTCTCTCTGTCTCTCTGTCTCTCGCTCCCTCTCTACCTCTATGAACACTGGACACATGAAGGCTCTGACACTGTGTTGTCAGTGTTGTTCTTTCCAACTAGTGCCGAGGTTGTAGTCAGTCAACTGTGAGGTTGTAGTCAGTAGTCAGTGAACTGTGCTGTGAGGTTGTAGTCAGTAGTCAGTGAACTGTGCTGTGAGGTTGGGGTCAGTAGTCAGTGAACTGTGCTGTGAGGTTGTGGTCAGTAGTCAGTGAACTGTGCTGTGAGGTTGGTAGTCAGTAGTCAGTGACCTGTGCTGTGAGGTTGGGGCCAGTAGTCAGTGAACTGTGCTGTGAGGTTGGGGTCAGTAGTCAGTGAACTGTGCTGTGAGGTTGGGGTCAGTAGTCAGTGAACTGTGCTGTGAGGTTGGGGTCAGTAGTCAGTGAACTGTGCTGTGAGGTTGGGGTCAGTAGTCAGTGAACTGTGCTGTGAGGTTGTGGTCAGTAGTCAGTGAACTGTGCTGTGAGGTTGTGGTCAGTAGTCAGTGAACTGTGCTGTGAGGTTGGGGTCAGTAGTCAGTGAACTGTGCTGTGAGGTTGGGGGTCAGTAGTCGGTGAACTGTGCTGTGAGGCTGGGGTCAGTAGTCAGTGAACTGTGCTGTGAGGTTGGGGTCAGTAGTCAGTGAACTGTGCTGTGAGGTTGGGGCCAGTAGTCAGTGAACTGTGCTGTGAGGTTGGGGTCAGTAGTCAGTGAACTGTGCTGTGAGGTTGGGGTCAGTAGTCAGTGAACTGTGCTGTGAGGTTGGGGTCAGTAGTCAGTGAACTGTGCTGTGAGGTTGGGGTCAGTAGTCAGTGAACTGTGCTGTGAGGTTGTGGTCAGTAGTCAGTGAACTGTGCTGTGAGGTTGTGGTCAGTAGTCAGTGAACTGTGCTGTGAGGTTGGGGTCAGTAGTCAGTGAACTGTGCTGTGAGGTTGGGGGTCAGTAGTCGGTGAACTGTGCTGTGAGGCTGGGGTCAGTAGTCAGTGAACTGTGCTGTGAGGTTGGGGTCAGTAGTCAGTGAACTGTGCTGTGAGGTTGTGGTCAGTAGTCAGTGAACTGTGCTGTGAGGTTGGGGTCAGTAGTCAGTGAACTGTGCTGTGAGGTTGGGGTCAGTAGTCAGTGAACTGTGCTGTGAGGTTGGGGTCAGTAGTCAGTGAACTGTGCTGTGAGGTTGGGGTCAGTAGTCAGTGAACTGTGCTGTGAGGTTGGGGTCAGTAGTCAGTGAACTGTGCTGTGAGGATGGGGTCAGTAGTCAGTGAACTGTGCTGTGAGGTTGGGGTCAGTAGTCAGTGAACTGTGCTGTGAGGTTGGGGTCAGTAGTCAGTGAACTGTGCTGTGAGGTTGTGGTCAGTAGTCAGTGAACTGTGCTGTGAGGTTGTGGTCAGTAGTCAGTGAACTGTGCTGTGAGGTTGGGGTCAGTAGTCAGTGAACTGTGCTGTGAGGTTGTGGTCAGTAGTCAGTGAACTGTGCTGTGAGGCTGGGGTCAGTAGTCAGTGAACTGTGCTGTGAGGTTGGGGTCAGTAGTCAGTGAACTGTGCTGTGAGGTTGTGGTCAGTAGTCAGTGAACTGTGCTGTGAGGTTGTGGTCAGTAGTCAGTGAACTGTGCTGTGAGGTTGGGGTCAGTAGTCAGTGAACTGTGCTGTGAGGTTGGGGTCAGTAGTCAGTGAACTGTGCTGTGAGGTTGGGGTCAGTAGTCAGTGAACTGTGCTGTGAGGTTGTGGTCAGTAGTCAGTGAACTGTGCTGTGAGGTTGTGGTCAGTAGTCAGTGAACTGTGCTGTGAGGTTGGGGTCAGTAGTCAGTGAACTGTGCTGTGAGGTTGGGGTCAGTAGTCAGTGAACTGTGCTGTGAGGTTGTGGTGTGATCACCTGTGAGTTTGTGACTCTGACATATAGTACATTGTTAATTTGAGGTGTGTCAACGTTAACTCAAATCAAATCAAATTGTATTTGTCACATGCGCCGAATACAACAGGTGTAGACCTTACAGTGAAATGCTTACAAGCCCTTAACCCACAATGCAGTTTTTAAGAAAAATAAGTGTTAAGTAAAAAATAGATAAGTAAAAAAGAAATAACAAATAATGAAAGAGCAGCAGTAAAATAACAGTAGGGAGGCTATATACAGGGGGTACCGGTACAGAGTCAATGTGTTAGTGGAGGTAATAACAGTAGGGAGGCTATATACAGGGGGTACCGGTACAGAGTCAATGTGTTAGTGGAGGTAATAACAGTAGGGAGGCTATATACAGGGGGTACCGGTACAGAGTCAATGTGTTAGTGGAGGTAATAACAGTAGGGAGGCTATATACAGGGAGGTACCGGTACAGAGTCAATGTGTTAGTGGAGGTAATAACAGTAGGGAGGCTATATACAGGGGGTACCGGTACAGAGTCAATGTGTTAGTCGATGTAATAACAGTAGGGAGGCTATATACAGGGGGGTACCGGTACAGAGTCAAGGTTGTCTATGTAATAACAGTAGGGAGGATATATACAGGGGGTACCGGTACAGAGTCACTTGTTAGTCGAGTAATAACAGTAGGGAGGCTATATACATATTATATACAGGTCAATGTGTTAGTCTATGTAATAACATTAGGGAGCCTATATACAGGGGTCACCGGTACAGAGTCAATGTGTTAGGGAGGTAATAACAGTAGGGAGGCTATATACAGGGGGTACCGACAGAGTCAATGTGTTAGTGGAGGTAATAACAGTAGGGAGGCTATATACAGGGGGTACCGGTACAGAGTCATGTGTTAGTGGAGGTATAACAGTAGGGAGGCTATTACAGGGAGGTTACCGGTACAGAGTCAATGTGTTAGTGGAGGTAATAACAGTAGGGAGGCTATATACAGGGGGTACCGGTACAGAGTCAATGTGTTAGTCGATGTAATAACAGTAGGGAGGCTATATACAGGGGGTACCGGTACAGAGTCAATGTGTTAGTCTATGTAATAACAGTAGGGAGGCTATATACAGGGGGTACCGGTACAGAGTCAATGTGTTAGTCGATGTAATAACAGTAGGGAGGCTTTATACAGGGGGTACCAGTACAGAGTCAATGTGTTAGTCTATGTAATAACAGTAGGGAGGCTATATACAGGGGGTACCGGTACAGAGTCAATGTGTTAGTGGAGGTAATAACAGTAGGGAGGCTATATACAGGGGGTACCGGTACAGAGTCAATGTGTTAGTCAATGTAATAACTGTAGGGAGGCTATATACAGTGGGTACCGGTACAGAGTCAATGTGCGGCGGCACCGGTTAGTCCAGGTAATTAAAGTAATATGTAGGTAGGGGTAAAGTGACTATGCATAGATAATAAACAGAGAGTAGCAGCAGCGTAAAAGAGGGGGTGGGGAGGGGGGGATAATGCAAATAGTCCGGGTAGCCATGATTAGCTGTTCAGGAGTCTTATGGCTTGGGGGTAGAAGCTGTTAAGAAGGCTTTTGGACCTAGACTTGGCGCACCGGTACCGTTTGCCGTGCGGTAGCAGAGAGAACAGTCTATGACTAGGGTGGCTGGAGTCTTTGACAATTTTAGGGCCTTCCTCTGACACCGCCTGGTATAGAGGTCCTGGATGGCAGGAAGCTTGGCCCCAGTGATGTACTGGGCTGTATGCACTACCCTCTGTAGTGCCTTGCGGTCGGAGGCCGAGCAGTTGCCATACCAGGCGGTGATGCAACCAGTCAGGATGCTCTCGATGGTGCAGCTGTAGAACTTTATGAGGATCTGATCACCCATGCCAAATCTTTTCAGTCTCCTGAGGGGGAATAGGCTTTGTCGTGCCCTCTTCACGACTGTCTTGATGTGTTTGGACCATGATAGTTTGTTGGTGATGTGGACACCAAGGAACTTGAAGCACTCAACCTGCTCCATTACAGCCCCGTCGATGAGAATGGGGGCGTGCTCGGTCCTCTTCTTTTTCCTGTAGTCCACAATCATCTCCTTTGTCTTGATCACGTTGAGGGAGAGGTTGTTGTCCTGGCACCACACGGCCAGGTCTCTGACCTCCTCCCTATAGGCTGTCTCATCGTTGTCTGTGATCAGGCCTACCACTGTTTTTTTTTTTTTTTTTATATACTTTGTTTATTGAATTTTCAGTACCAGCATTTAGTAAATAATTGCACTTGAAAGTTATTTGGTATGAATATGGAACTACAATTTGAAGACAACGATACAGCAAAACATGGAGAGACAGACATGAAAGAAAAAATAGACATTAAGTACATAAATAAGATAAAACACAAAAAAAAAAAAAAAAAAAAAAGGAGGAATATCTGTTTTGATCCAGTTGTTATAGGTCAGCTAGCACAGTTATTACCGTCCTTTACATCCGAGATGTCGTATATGCACATACCAGGCTTCTTACATCACCAATATATAAATATACATCACTCTGGAACTGCAGGGAAATGTATTCTTTTGACATAAGAAAAGAAGGGAGCCCACTTTGCATAGAATTTGTCTACAGACCCATTGAGTGTCTGTTTTATTTTCTCCAACTTTATGCAATTCAAAATAGATTTAATCCAAAGAGCATGAGAAGGGGCTGCAG